TAATACGAAAGCAATTAAATAAACAGTTAATAAATACCCAACAGATAATTAAATCCTTTCATTGAATTGGCGAGATAAATAAAAATTCTCAATATAAGTACGCCTACTTATGAAATAAACACACTAAATCTTAACTTAACACACGTATATTTTCTCACAGCCAGTGAACTTATTCAAAGCCTAATAAATTCTTTTTATACGCCAACAGACTCCGCAATATTTGCATAATTAACATAACAATATTTCAAACAAAACTTTCTTCAGCGAATAATCATAATTTTTCTTCAAGTCACACGAAACTGGGCTTAAAAAATGAACCATAAATTTTTTATCTTTCGCATACATTTTTAATGATAACTACTCGTTTCCTGTATTAATCAAGTGCAACGAGTTATTTATACCAAGTACTTGTACTCATCGATTATCCACACTAGATTCTTGTTAATCCGTGTCGTTTCAAGTACTCGTTAATAAAAAAACAAAATAATGATAACAACTGTGACCGTAATAATGATAATCATTTTTTTCTTCAAACTATTTACTTTGCGATTATTTGTTTTTGTCCTCATATGTCAAAGGAAATACTAACAATAGCTCAAGTTATTACTGTAACCACTTCGTGACAGTTTTTAAATTAAAAAATTTTGGTAAAGATTTTTTAATTTAAAGATAATTTGTTTTTGAGCTTCAGTCCACAATGAGCTCTAAACAAATTTAACCACTTATTATATTATATTAGGCATTCATTAATGTTTATTACCGAGCACAGTTAAACGAACTCTTCTTAACTGGCAGCCATAAATTGTTGAGGTAACACTAAATGCCCTTTACTATTGACGAATTTCCTACATTGAATTGTCATTGTCTGTGGTGATGAAAACCGACAAATTAAGATTTGGTTTTCTTTCATTAACCATAATCCATGATCACGAAACAATTAGGATTCTTCTTAAATTTAATGAATATCAAGTATTATTTGAGGAATATTTAAATTTAAAATTCTTGACTAAAAAAAAAAAATTGAATTTATCAAAGACCAGAGAATTTCATTGCGGTAATAATATTTTTCTATAATTTAAAAATTTGAAAAGCGGTTAACCTGCAGGTCATTCCTGGAACTTAATGTTTTTTTCGAACTCAAATATATTCCCATTAGTTGATTTTTGAGCTCTTTGAGCACAAAAAAATCAAAAGTTATCTAAAAAAAAAACAATTGTTTAAAAATTTTAAATGGTTATTATTTTTCAAGTTAAAAAAAATATTTCTGATGTCTGGAGTTGATTAGTCGAATATTTTGTAAGTTATTTAGAAAAACTGAAAACAAACTTTTTTTCTGGTTTTTATTTCTTGAATATCTTTGGAACGACTCGACCGATTGACTTGAAAATCTAATCAGGTTAAAATCTCAATGAAGACTTTCGAACGCTTTGTCGCTCATTTCGATCGGTTGGTTCATTCTAAATATGTCGTATGACAAAATTTTATTTACACACACACAAACACACATACACACGTACACACGCATGCATCCACAAGCGCGGCAGGACCTCCAGTCGGAAATAGTCGGAACGGCTTCATAGAATCTTAAAACGTGGAGATGAAAATTTTCAAAATTGAAACGAAGTCAATAACTTCCTACTTTTGAAAATTATGAATTTTTAAAGCGGGATGTTAAAAAATATTGGATATTTAAATGATAGAAAAACTTATTGATTCAAGAGATGATATATTTTTTTTCATGTTAGAAATAATTTTAAAGACAACTGGTCAGCTTCAAAAATTTTTTGTCTTGGATCGAAAATGAAATTAACTGAAAATCAATTGTAACGTACAATATTGTAAGAAATTTAAAATGTATTTTTTATAAACTCATCATAAAATCATACACGTTTCAAAATATGAATTAAAAAATAAAATACAGAATGAGACTAATTTTTTTTGCCGGGGCAAGTAAGAAGAAATAAATTATTGAAGTTTCATTGTTTCAATTGACCCAGTCTTCTCAATAAAAACTTTTAATGCTTCACACATGATAAAAGACTCAATAAAAAACAAATTTAATGTTAAAGTTGAAGCTGCCCATCAAATCAGGCCATCGGTAACGCACAAGCGTACACAATTCAATAAGATAGAATGAAGAGAAGCCAGAGGTTAAAAAAATTCATATCTTTTATGCACTTGTTCGACTCCTCAGTACTCATATTTGAATATCCATCCATCAAGACCAATAAGTACTGGTACTGGTATTAGTTCATAGAACAGAAATATCGAGTTAAATAGGATTCTAAGATCTAAAGTTTTAGCTAAATACGCGACAACTAGCACGTGTGGAGAATCTTGAATGCGATGAGACTGAGAGGTCAATTCGTGTCCTGTAACGAGGTCACGAGAATACCTTTCGCCCCATTCTTACTTGGATACCGACAACTAAATACTTAGGTTCAATGCGTCCAGATGATAATAACAACGATGATCATAAGTAATTAAATGGGACGTCAGAGACTGAAGGTCGCTGCCAAGTAGTGTTGAGTTAGAAATCCTCTAAGTAAGTTCTGTCCTTGTTTAATAATACGATTCATAATATATTACTCAATGTTTAGTTTCGCTTATAATCAACAACTTACACTAGTTAAGTAAACGGTAATAAAAAGTATTTTATCTGGGAATATCTTCACCGTTTGCAGCATCCTCATTTCATCGAAGACTTACAACTTTTTCTATCCTGTCACCATGATAGAATTAGAAGAGATTGTGGTTTACTTCAGAAAGAAAAAGAAGTGAATTTTAACGTTACGTTCTTCAATTAAGATTCAATTGATTCCTAGAATCTGAGTACATCCATAAATTGGTAGATTGTTCTGAATAATTGTGAGGCGAAAATTTACCAAATGTTACACGTTGATAAAAAAATTGACTTGATTCGAGAGCAAAATTCTTGAAACAATCATTTTGAAGATTTTTGTCATCTTGAATTAAATATAAAAATTAAATAAAATCTACATGAACCATGAACAATTTCTTAGATTAATCATTTTTAAACTTGATTCTAGATAATCAAACACTTAAAAATGTAATTTTTGGTTAAAAAATTTTACTCTTGTATCCAGTTAATTTTTTCATCTGATAGTTAATATAGTTCAAATATTGTTACAATTATTTAGGAGAAAAAATTTTGAACCAAGCAAGATATTCTGAAGGATTTTTTGTCTTAAATTGAACAGAAAAATTATTAAATTGTAAACAATAAAAATATGCGTGATAAATATTGATGATCTTTAATGATAAATGTTCGATTGATTAATAATCAATTAGAAGTTGGTAATCTTAATAGAATTAGACTTTAATAAGAGACATCAGATAAATTTGATCTAGTAATTGATTTTAAATAATTGATATTACACTTACAAAAAATTGAAGTGTAATAAAGATCGCTAAAGACTTCTCACAGTCGTGTAAATACATGGTGTTAAGTATTATCTACTGCTTAACAGTATTTCGTATCAGTAAAGATAATTTTGTCAAAGTTTTTTAAGAAAAAATTCCTTTAAAATTTGGGCCCTTAAGGGTTTAGGTGGGTTTCAAAAAACTGAGCCGTTGGTACCTCATCTCCCTTGACGACTCAAAAAAAAAAAATGCTCTTGCCGTGGACAGCATAACTCAATATCGGTTCATCTAAAATCAAAGAACCAAACATATTTCGTTAGTACATGGATAAATCTTATTATTGGACGAAGAATTTTTTTTTTTTTATTACAAAATTTGACCAAAAAATGTGTTTTTTTGTTCAAAGTCTGTAAAAAATTCAAATTTTAATTTTTTTTTCTCCTTCGTCCAATAACGAGATTTATCCATGTACTAACTAAATATGTTTGGTTCTTTGATTTTAGATGAACCAATAATGAGTTATGCTCTCCACAGTTATGCTGTTCTCATTTTTGAGACGTCAAGGGAAATGAGGTACCAACGGTTCAGTTTTCAGAATTTTTAAATAAAAATTTCACAAAATACTGTTTAAGTATGTATCTTTGAAATGCTGAATTGTTTAAATAAAATATATGATTGTATATACTAAAAAAAAAATAGTAAAAATATCCTTTTTTTGAACCTCTGAAACCCACCTAACCCCTTAAGAAGCACTCTATAGATAAAATAATATTTGAAATTTTAATTTAAAACTGTTAATAAAAGATAAAACTAATATCTTCAAAAAATGTTAATTAAAATTGAATAAAACGGGACTCGTTAATGAACTTTCAACACTAAAATTTGAACTTTCAATTAAATGAATCCATATCCAAACCAAATGACAAAACAAATTGAATTCACGATCATACGGGAAAAAATACTCAATAATTATAAGTTTGTGTTAGTAAAGGTTCTTTAGTTAAATTTTTACGATTCGCTGATTACAATCGTGAGTAATTTACATATGCGCGACAAATTTAATATGCACAATAATACACATTAAGCCGTTTCACTAATTAAATTTTGAAGACCATCAACACAAAGCCACAAAAATGAAAACCCCGACTAGAGTCTAAACAATGAGTACACATCAGTGTCTTTGCTTTTATAATAAACAGCCTCAATCATTCTCCGATCAGCAATCCATGAGGTATCTAGTACCCAACATCTGAGAAAAGAGTAATAGTAACGAGTAAAGAGTATTTCTAACACAAGCAATGGACCGTTACCCCCACCGACCTATATTCATTTCTCGTATATATGCTCAGAACATCTTCTATTCGCAAGTAGTAACTACAGGCTCTTGCACTCTTGATAATCTTGCTTCGAACTTTTTAATAAATATAAAAAAAAAAAAGTCTTAAGATTTTAATCAAAAAATTTTTAATTAAATTCAGTGTCATGAATTATTATTACCCAAAATTAGCATAATGGATTTCTAACTAAAGTGCGATGACATTGAGCTGAAAAAAATTGTCAATCAAAGTCATCAGATTATCACATGGATGACATAGAAAACGATCAAGTGCTAAATAATGAAAACTGACGGTGCAAAAAAATATTTTCCTAGCCCGAAATTACCCAAATTATTATTATCATCATTATTAGAATTAAAATTACCAAGGACGATAAAGCGTGTGTCATCAATAATATTTACTTTAACAGTACTTGCAAATACAGTTGCCGCAGAGTATGTTAACGAAACGATTTCCAGTGATTTTGTATCACGATGTCGCAGAGATTGTGTTATCAAGAGGGACGTTGTGGTCTGTGGTAAATATCGTGTTGCTAGGTGGTTAAACGACGTGCGTGAGAAGGTATTTACTTATAAATTTAATCTACTGAAATAATAAATTAAGAAAACCATTTTTGAAAAAGTTTAAAAAGAAAATTTTTTTGGGTTAAGTAAATTTCAGTTAAATTCTTTACAAGAATTTTTTATCTCAATTCAAAACAAAATTCTTGAAAATGATTCTTTTGTTCAAGAGTTTTTTTCTTGAATAAAGTTAATTTTTTTTCAGTGCATATGTATAATTATGTCACTATTTGTTATTAAAGATTTATATTGACAATCTAGGATTTCAGCTACGGGCCGATAAAATTTATAAGGATACCTGCAGTGACAGAAGAGCCAATTCTGCCAAAAGTTCCAGCAAAGAAGGCTTACAAATTCGGTGTGACAGAAACGCTGAATTTTTTGCGTGACACCGCAGAGGAAATTATTAAAAGACGTGCTCTAGTTTATACTTTCCAACCGGCTTTGAGTAGCGGTAGATCATTTTCAAACGCACCGATCGTATTGGACGAAGATGAGCTTGTGCAAATGCAAAAAGGCGGGAAAGGTAACTTCTTTTTTTTTAAATCTTGCATTATTCATTCAGAAAATAAATAGATTTTGAACTACCTATTGTTATAATTTATCACATTTTTTTTACATGTGATGAATATATACAATTTATTGAAATAATGAGAATATTTTATAGATATATCAAAGTAAACATTGTGAAATTTCGAAAAAATTTTCTTGGAAATTAAGAATGACATCAGCTACCACGCATGTTTCACTTCTATCGAAACTTGAATTCATTAAAACAAATTAAAAATTGCATTTTTTAACTTTTTCAACAAAATGAAAAAATTTTCTGATGAGGCCTTATATATCCATATATAGTTAGATATGGTCTCATATGTCCATTAATAATCTTTGATATGTCTTAATATACTCATGTATGGTTTGATTGAACAATTAATTAGCTATATCAGGTCTTATATGACCATATTAGGCCATTTTGAGACATGTATGGCTTTATATATCCTGATATGTCCATATTTGGGCCTAATATGTCCGTATGAATTTTTTTGATTTAATGCAGTATTAATAATCTCCTACAGAGGGCGCATGATCGCTGAATTGTTTCATTACAGGAGAGTTAAGTTTAAGACATAAAATAAAAATCAATTTTTTAACTCTACTAAGAAACTTATCTGAGATTATTTTTTTGGCTTAAGCCAAAATCTACTGAGCCAATTTTTTTTTAATTTGTCATTTATTGAGGGACAAATTTTTAGAAAAAAAAAATTATTGAAAAATCACAAATAGATTTTTTTTCTATTTTTATGAAGAGCTTGACATATATATAACCATATCAGGCTACGTATAATTATATGAGGCCATATATAACCAGTTAAAAAAATTGACCATACCTAACCATACCAGAAAATTTTTTCACAGAATGCATAATTTTTTACAATTTCTTTTCTGTAATTTTTTTTACAATAAAAATCATACTTCAAACAATAATATTATTCCGAATTTACCCGTTCATATAGAACATGTTCATGTAAAGAAATTATCTGCCATATTTAAATGACTTTCAATATTTAACTGCCCGTTTTGGCATAATCGTGCCGTTTTTTTCCTGCTCTAAATTCTTGATCGTAAACTTTAAAAAAAAAAAATTAATTTTGAACTAACGCGTACCTATATATAAGTCGATGAGCCTTTCTCCTTTGGAATGCAAGAAATAATCTTTTTGTTCAGCGCCCGTGCATACGTATCGACGATTATAACAGGTGTCAGGTTGCTGCGTAATCATCAGCGTGATAAATCGTCTATCTACACTGTAGAAAAGTGTCTAATAACAGTGATTAATGCCTTCAGTCTTTCGACTTCATTGAATTCCCATTTATTAACATGTTCATTCTTCATAATTATAAAAAAATGCGAAAATCATTAACAAGTTGATCAAGGTTTAATCAATCAATCACCTTTCATTTTTCAGATAACTCACGGCTTTTCCACAAAAAAAAGAAAGCAATTATCCTGCCAGTTCTTATTCTGCTGAATTTACTGAAAATAAAATTAATTTTGATACCCATATTTTTGGGCGTGCACTTAATTAAGAAATTAATAATTATTGGCGGATTATTCGTACCTGGATTTTTATCCAAACTGAGAATCTGCAAGGTTCCTCATCATGGATTTACTTTTCCGTTCCATTGGGGCACTGCTGCTGAAGCTCCGGTTGATTATCCTTCTGGTAATTTATTGTTTAATTATTCATTTATATTATTACAATTATTATAAATTTGAAAATAACAATTTGTTAAGGCTTGATTTTTTATTGGAAAAGTAAATAGTAACTTTTAAGTAACTGTTTTTGTTATCAGGATACGGTAATGAAGATCCAGGCTGGTCACATAGGAACGATATTTATCCAGGATTACCAGGATATCCAGCGCCTTACCATTATCCTCCTGCGTATTATAGACAGCGAAGACAAATTTAGTTGTTAAGATATTAAATTATTAATTTTTAATGAAAATGACTGCATTATTTATTTTTATACTTATTTATTTATTTTATTTATTTTCTACGTTTGAAATAGCAACGCAACGCTTCAAATGCAAAATTGAAGAAATTATAAACTTTTCATTACTAAAAGTTGTATTTAAGTTAAGTAAACGATGAGAAAGTGTAATTTTTATAAAATTTGTCAAATATAACTACTTAAAATAATAATTTTTTCCATTTTATATTTGAAACTCAAGCATTAATGCGCAGCTATGTCAAATTGTAAAATTTTATTTATATGTAGCTTAGAATATTTTTTTATTGTAAGAATCTCAATCAACAAGACTCTATCTATTAATAAATTTTTTTAAGTACATATGCGTTCGAATTTATTACTCACTGATGGAAAAGTTAATTTAATTCAACTAAAAATATTTTGAATGAAAATAATAAATAATAATTTAAAAAAATGTTTTTCTTATTTTGAGTTAAGAAGCGAAATTTTTTCTGGTTCAAGTAAATTTTACTCAATTCAAGAATTTTTCTGTTTCAAAAAATTCTTCAAAATTCTCTTCTAGGTTAAAAAATGAGTCTTAGATAATATTAGCATTTCATCAGTCTGTTTATATTTCTATGATAAAATTTTAAGTAACAAAAAATAAAAAAAAAATACTATTGTTTTTTTTCCCTTAAAGACTTTTTTTAGTTCAAGAGAATTTAACACTGTTCAAAAGTTTTTCTGCCTCAAAAAAATTCTTTTCTGGGTTCAAAATTTTTCTTGGATCAAGTTACCCTTTATATGTCTGTCTATTTTTACATGATAAACTTTTAATTTAAGTAAAAAACATTTACTGTAAAATTTATATCAACCATTGACTTCTGATATGACATATATGTTCTACATGGAACTGAAATAATAGTGATTAATTATCGTAGCAGAAGCCAGTAAAAGTAACAAACAATTGAATATCTCAAATATTAATTATTTCGAAAAATTAGCGTAAACATATTTTAACATTGCATAATTTTTAAATCATAAATTAAATTTTGAATCCTTACGATCAAAAAACAACAAATTCTCTTAAAAAAAAAAATTGTATTCCTGTTTGTTCAACCAATATAAATACAATGATAATTCGAGAACGAACAAAAAAATACGACGAACCACTCAAAAATTATTAACCTGAAGGACATGACCCAAATATTTGAGGTCTGCCTATAAACGGTAATTCAATTGATATTTTTATTTTTTATTTTTATTTGTTGTTGTTATACTATTACTATATATATTGAATATTTGTAGTTCAAGGCCATTTACATAAAATCCGTTGGCCCAGGAGTTGTTGACCCACTGACAGATTTGGACACTCGCCACACGTCCAGCTAATAATTATCGTAATAATTATATACGTTTTCATATTACTAAAATCTCGGAACTCGATTGCTGCTTAAAAATATTTATTAATCTTCATTAATTCATACATATACACTAGACATGCGACATAATAAGTATTACAATGTATTCAGTTAATAAACTGAAATCAATCGATCCGATACAAGGAGCCCGTTACTTTTTGTCAACAAGTAATTTTGGTAAATGCCCTCAACAATTGAGTATTAAATTGACTGGTAAATGATAATGATCTACATAGATCGGATGCTAACGATACGATAAATACTAGTCGTATGTAATATTTTTATTGTTGTTATCATTGTCATTACAATATAAATTTCGTTTAGTTTGATAGATCTATATGTCCTAATGTAATGTAACATAAGAAATGTCGCTTACGTACGTCAAGTCAACCGTTACACTATGCGTTATAGCGGAGGAAAAAAGTCACATTAATGTAACGGGTATTAGGTCTATATGACTAGATCGCGATAAGTGCACGTCACGCGTCCATTACTCTTTGATTGTTTCTTACATATGTTATAGATACTTATATGTAATCTGTTTCCGATTGATTTACTCCTTCCAAAAATTTAGTATAGGCATGATACCAAGAAAATAGAAATTTCTTCTGGAAAGCATCATTCGAGAGAGATACTCACCAATTTATAGTAAGGAAAAATACTAAAAGCAAAAAATCCGAAGGATTAAGAAATTAATTACTTTTAAAATCCAATTAGAATTATTTCAAATATACTGATTAATTGGTGTTATTATTTTGTAACAAGAGAGGTTTTTTAAAGTTAAATATGGATAAAATCCACTGAATCCATCAGTAAAAATTTTTTGTTATTATTACATATTTAGGCATAATCAAATGATCATCTGACGTGAAAAAGTAAAATAAACGAAGAGCTTTTTAGAAATCAAAATGAAAAACAAGCCCATTTTGTCTTAAATTTAAGAAGATTATTTTTAACATTTCTCAAAATGAGAAAACAAAAACGACCAAGTTTCTGAATTAAAGCGTGATTCATAAGATTTCAATGAGAAATCAGTCAAATGGAAAATTATAAACAAAAAGAAGGGAAAAAATCAAAGTAGTGTCTAAAGAGCAGAGTATACTAGAGTAGTAACTGCAGTTTTATATGTAATCTAAATTACAACTTCATTAGTAGTTACATTTGATAAATTGTGAATGTAATTTTTTGTAATAATAAAAACTCAAAATTGAATAAATGTAGCCCCATAGAATTACAAAGTGAATATAACTTTTTTTTGTAACTTCATATGCAAATGAAATTATCATAAGACGATATATAGAAGCATCCAATTATCTTAAAAGTTTTTTAATTACAGACAAAAAGGTAAACAATTTGTCGTGTGGATTTTTTTCTACATAGATAAACACAAAAATTGATTTTAAAGTTCAAAAATTTGTATATATTAAAGGATTTGATGATCAAATTATTACTCACACGTAGAAAATAATATTTAATAGCTAAATCATGGATGTAAAACACCTGAGTTAAGTTTTTGCACGTGAAAATAATTAATCGATATACGAGATTTATCGAAGCTTCTAGGAAATTGTTTTGAGAATCACGCTAGCACTCAGAAAATAATAATTATATCTATAATGAATCCTTTTTCGATATAATTATATTTGATCACACCAAAACTTTTTTCAATTAAAGGTCAGTTTTTGTTTTTAATTATAATTGTTCTATTGTTATTATTTCAAAATTATCTCATAAATAAATTGTCATGATTTTTCAAACCAAATTTATTTATAAATATTTAATTAATGTAATAAAAAATACAGGATTCAAAAAATATTTTTTGTCCAAAAAAATTTAGGATAAATGTAAAATTAATAAAATTTCAAGTTTAAATTTAAGTAGAATTCGGTCGTTAAATAAATAAATAAAAGGCTGTAAATGAATAAATAAATAAATAAATTTAGTGAGGTGTGTAAAAACGACAAAGTGTAAATGACAAGCCTGATTAGAGCAATAAAGAAAGTAAATCGGTGAATAGAAAGGTGAGAAAAAGAGCGATAACATTTAAGTATTTTTATGTATTTATTTTTTCCTCTTCTTTTTAACTTTACTATCATTATTATTATCGGAAGAAGGAAGGCTCAAGAAGTAAAGGTAGCCCTCTTCTACAGTAGTGTACAAATGGACAGACGACTGATGGCCGGGTAACCCAGATTAACCGCGTTCAACCGATTCCAAGAGTGCGTTCGCCAGTACCGTGGAGTCCGCCGTCCGCGAGCCGACTTTAAACTGCTCGATTTAGTACCACTGCTTTATCGATTTTTCGCTCCTTTTTGAATGTTTAACAACTTTATTTTATTTATTCAAGTTTTTGTATATAAATCTAAGCAAAGTTGAGTTAGTATTCAAGATTTGTTATTAATCAGTGCGATAAATATTATTGTTGTTTAATTACTTTGAGATTAAGGACTGTGTTAACAACACGTGTAAGTATTTTTTTTTTTTCCATTAATGTTTGCTGTGTGACAAGTGGCCTTGAGAGAGCACAATAGTGATAGTACGGTGAATGACCGGTGTGTATTGACCATTAAATAGTTTACATTATTGTTATTAAATTTATATACAGGAACAGGAATCCGGAAAAAATAAGGCTTTGTAAAGTTTAACCGTGTATCCAGGGCAAAATAAAACATCAGATTTTAAGAGATTTGATATTTTGGAAATTGAAATTTTTAAAAGGTATAAAAAATTCGATTATTTTTTTTTTTTATTTTGATTATTTTTTTGGGAAGTTCAGTTGCGTAATTTTTTTGAATTTCAAATACAATTTTTTTAATGTTAAAAAAAATTTTTTTTAATTTAAAATTAGAAAATTACTACATTTTTGTAAAAGTAATAAAATTTCAAAAAAAGACCATTTAAAAAAAAAATTCGGAGTGGATTTTGAAAAATGGAGATTTTAATTTTTGAAAATTTTGGACATTCAGAAAAAATTAATACAAAATGTAAACATGTACACTTGTTATGATAAAAAAAAAATCAATTTTTTGATGTAGAAAGTATTAAAATAACAATAAAAAATTATGAGTAAATTTACGATCCATGCAAAAATAAATATCCACCAAGTAAACATCGTTATAATAAACTACATCAATTTTTTACTCTATTTTTTAACAGCAATTTAGTTCTTATTGTCCATTATTATCCATAAACAAATACTAAACTAAACTCAATTATTATAACTTTTTATTTCTAGCTAACAAGATGATAATGCAGCCGAGCCATTTTTGATCTTAAATAACAATAATCACGCTCAAGATTGCTGAGAGCCAGCAAAATGGCTTATAAAAACACCTGGAGTCATAAAAAATCTCATCATTGTTATTATTATTACTTAATAATTGCAATTACATTTACCTGTTGTAATGCACTGGAGACCAAGGCCGAGGTGAACGAGACAGAAAGCAATGGAGTTGCGTCTAGCAACGTAGATCACAATTGGATGGATGATAAGCCTGATTTATCCCATCCACATTCTTTCAAAAATAAGCCCAGCAAATTTGATGTCGACGTTTCTGGGCTCACTTACACCGACAACAATTCTTCTCAATCTCAAATTCCAAATCCAAATTCAATAGACACCAAAGCTTGCAAAGGCTCAGCTACCAAATGCTTAAAAAAAGATTTGGAGGATTTTTTAGACGGCGTCAAGGGTAAGAGCGTCCTCGACGTTACCGACTCAGTGCAAATAGAAAAGAGGACAAATTCCACGGCTGTGGATCTACACGAAAGTTTGTTCGATAAAGTTCACAGGCTGGCCAAAAATTATGTTTTAAAAATAAAACTGAACCAATTGAGACAGCCGAGAACGTTTTTTGGTTGTAAGTTAATTTATTTCTTAATTGTATATCGCTTTTGTTATTAACAAAACGCTTACAAAGCTTATTTAATGCTGCTTTGCTATTAAAACTGTTGTGATTAATAATTGTCAGTTTTTTTTTTGTTGATTTTTTGAGTAATTAATACTTTGTCTTGGATTATTGGGGAATTTTCGAGCTGAACATTTGAAAAAGACGATATTTGTAAATCGACGATACAATTAAAAATTATCGTAGGTAGTAATGTCATGGAGAAATATAGCTTTAAAACAATTCAAAATTTAGGATAAAACAAATTTTTTAAAAATTCATTCATAAAGAACTTTCAAACTTGGAACAATTTGGTACTGTAATGCTTATGGAAAAATATTACATGTGATCAGATCTAAAGAAGTAAATGTACTTAGATGTTCGAATTGGCTCCATATGTCTAGATTTGGTCAAAAATAAGAATTTTTTCTTAGATATTAAAAATTATAATTGTCAAAATTGAATCAACTAATTTAAATCAAAATTATTTTGCGCATGCGTACTAAGAAGTCACATTTAGACATTCAATTAGTTTTTATCAACTTAACTTTTTACGAATTTCTTTTACAAATTCGATTAACTTATACTATTATTTTAACTGTACAATTGAAACGTAATCAAAGTAATAATCCCATACAAAAAATGAAGATCGGCCCGATACTGGGCCAAGACTGGTAACCGATCTTTAAGTATCGGCCGAGTATCGTGAAATATCGTTGGGCCAAGACTGGGCGAGCATCGGATGGTAACGCCCAGCCGATATAGGCGACTGAGCATCGGCCGAACATAGTAACCAAGCATTGGCCGAGCATCGGCCAAGCATAGGCAAAAAATCAAATTTTAGGTAAAATAATTAAAAAAATTTTTTTTTTTGTTGTTTATTTTTGAATTATTATTATTCTGAGCTGATGGACTACTGGTTGATAGAAACTAATTCTGAAAAAATCCGGATGTGAAGGGATTTGAACCTGGTCCGTCTGCGTGGAAGTCTCGAGCGGTGTCCCGGGCGCTGCTAACTGATCTGAGTGTAGTGTACTTAGTTTAATCATTTCAATGTTCATCAATCAATTTTTCTCAGTATAATTGAGTTAACTTGATTGTTGTTACGAATTTTTCTATTTATTTCATAATTAAACAATTTCTGAATTTTAATAATAAAAAATAACTTCTTTTGTTTTTCAAAACTTCATTTTTTAAGCAAGAAGTTCAAAATTAATTAAAAATAAATGATTTATTAGTGAAAAAATATATATATTTATATTTTTATTTATATTCATAAATCTATTTGTAAGTAAATAAATCATTTATTAAAAATCATTAGTTTCTTGCTAAAATATTTTTTTTGAATACTAAAAGAAATAGGTTTAACTGATTGGGTAATGTAAAAATTTATCGAAAAAGTCCTCCAAAAAAATATTCATTACTTATTAAATCTGTTTTAGTGAAAACAAATGTTGATTTAATCTTAATAGAGCTTGTTGAATAATAAAAATGTTTATTAAAAACTAAAAAATGATCAATATGATATTTATAAAAAAAAGCATTGTTAATAATTTAAATTGGTGTTTTCTCCTAAAAACATCTCGTAAGATATTTTTTTAAAATTGATTTACTAATTTTTAGAACATATTAGTTTATAATTTGGTCAAACGTTAAATTAAAACAATAATACAACATAGTAATGACTAACACGTATATTAATTGTTTTCAAGTGTAATAAACAATTAACCAGAGCGTCGGCCAAGCAATGGCTGATAATCAAATTACATACCATTATGTTATAATAAATATCATGCGATAGCCGATAGCTTACCTAGACTCGGCCAGTACAAAACGCCAATGCTTGGCCGAACATTAAAGCCGATGGTTTACCGAGGCTAGGCCGATACAAAACGCCGATACTTGGCCGAGCATTAGCAGCCGTGCCTTGGCCAATGAACGAAAATTGTTGAGCATCGGCAACTTTGTATGGGATGTAAATATTATTTAAACTTTTTTTGAATATCGTGAAAAAGTAACTGCTCGTTATGAACGATTGCATGAATGATTAATACAATAAAAAAGGGGCAAAATTTATGAATATTTTTGAAGAAAACTTTAGCAGCAAGAAATAAAGACTTAAAGATCGTGACCTTTAATGGAGAGCGCATGGCTTGACTAACAGCAACTAAACGCTAAAAATGCCTGGTAAAATTTTGCTTTCAGCTTTGTCGGATGGAAAGAATCCATTTTTAACAGGCTTTGGACTTGGTTTTTTAGCGTTCGGTTTGAAGAAGCTGCTGTTACCGTTAATCATAGGTGCCCAGGTTATTAAAAGTATCCTGATAGCACTTTTTTTGCCGAGTATCATTGGAAGTATTGGTAAAATGGTTGGAAAAGGTAATTAGTTGTTACTTAGCCACTAAATTTAAATAATAGTTATCATGAATTATAATCAATATTCGCTTATTTTTATTGTTTATTCAATTTGAGCGGATTCATCAGTTTTTGTGACTGTTTAGCAGGGGTTTCATCGTTCGCGCAGTCTTCACAAGGTGTCACTGCGACGCCGGATGAAAACTTTGAATTCAAAGACAACTCTGATTTCTATAATGATGATTATCTGGCGAAACAACCCTTGGGAACCTTGCCAGCATCGACAATGTACGAGGAAGGAATGATGCAAGTTCAGAAACCAGACTCGAGGTATTCTTTTATTGACTCAAGATTGTCACCGGTCGCCATGCTTAATGACAGATACTATACCAGGCATGCTGCTAATGGTTACGCGAAAAAACAAGACTTTAAGGTAATACTCATTTATTTTTGCACGCCTCATAACGCGAACACGGTTAAGGTAGTGCTTTACAATTAACACATCAAGGTCAAGCAATTTTGTGGTTTTAAAATGCTTCTATCACAACTATATTGCCCTAATCAATCTTATATTTTCTAAAAAATTATTTTATGTCGCTACACTGAGAGAAAAATTTCTTTGGAAAAAAATGGGCATTGTTGTGATAAGAAATAAAACTTTCAAAAATGTTATTTTTTAACTGAAGAAATAAAAATTTTTCTCATAGTAACTTTTGTGTTGAAAAAAAATTTTTTCAATTTGGAAGAAAACAATATTAGATAGAGAATTACGAATTTACGAAAAAAATTAATTTCTTATAACAACATAGCTTATTTTTTCAAAATAAATTTTTTCTCTCGTGCTTTGGACGTTCGGATATCTTAGTGCAGCTTTTTTTTTGTATGTAATCACGATAAATCCCGAAAAAATTGATGTATCGAGACCAGGTTTTTTTTTATTAGCTTCATCAGAATTACAGCAACTAGTTTTGTATTGCAGCTAGCTGTATAATTCGGTGTATCTTAATTATAATTAATAAGAATCTAAAATCGACTGCTATATCTTTATGCAAGGAAGTAAAGATTAACCTTAAGCCACACATGGTCGCTCTGTCATATACTCAACTAGGAAATCAAATTGCGCGCATGCTCTAATCCTGAACCAGCAAAGAATCAGGGGCCACTTTTTCAATTATTATAGATATAATTTCGATAGTAAACTAACTTCATTTTAGTCATCAATTTTATATCATAGGATGGCGCGCTTGCGATATATTTTCTTATCTCAGATATAAATACCGCAAAATATTTAAATTTAAAATTAAAGCATAATTCGTTGAATTTTCCATACAACACAAATATATACGATTTACTTTATTTTTTTTTCTATTTTCGAAAATTTAATGAGCATTATGAGGCGTGCACTTTTGGATTATCCTAATTTTTCGGACAATTTTCCATAAAAAAATTTTTTGATAGGTCATACATGGCTAATTTTTGGGTCTGACCATATATGGACATTGCAGAATTTATTTAAAATTATATATGGACACGTCAAACCGTGTTAGATAATTATTTCTTTAATGGTATCATCCAAACTTCAAATTTTTTTATTGTCTATGATCTATAACGACTGCAATTTGCTAGTTGAATTAAACGCACGACGAAAAGTTTTTAAAAAGTATTTTTCTGAGGAAAATAAAATTATTACTTTGTCTATTCTTGTTCGATTTTAAAAATACTATTTTACTAAACTTCTGTTATGATATAAATAAAGAGTTCTGCAGAATCATTTTTAGTCTCACGAGCGGAACGAAATAATCATTTGAATTCATTAAAGACCATGCGTTGTTCAATGGAAATTAATAGTATTATGAATATGGTATTTATACATTTTATTATTTGAAAGTATAATACTATTTATTTTATAAATAAAAAACGACTTATCACAAGAAATGGAAAATAAATTTTATAGCGAGATTCCAATCAAATTTTTATCGTAGTTTAATTTATTTGTAATAAAAAAGCGATAAATTATCTGGTGAGATAGATCGAAAAACTAATTAGATCTTTTAAAATTATTCTTAGCTCTATCCGAAACACCGCTTAGATAATATCACAATAATAGCTAGAAAATACATAAATTAATCGTTTCCTATTTCGACCTAAATGAAGCATTTTTCCAGTAACGGAACTGTCGGAAGATGTATAATGTATAATACTTCAGTACTATATACATGCGGCATAGGGAAATGAGAATTATTGAACTGATAATAAATAATAAGCAGGAGTCAAGAGTAAGAAGAAAAAATAACACTAACGGATTTGTTTCCTCAGATTAATTTAGTTCTTTACGTCTTGTGAAAACAATTCATCACGCAAACTTGATGCATGTTCATCTATTTATTCCTATTAAGTCATATACCTTGGCGTTGTACGATTTATTATCTTCACTAAACAAAAAGACAAATTTTTCTTCATTATTTCAACTAATAAATTTGCACGACAAAATGCGAAAGTCCTCTACGATTAAGAATTGTTTTTCGCTTTCTTTCTATGATTATTTCTATTGTAATACTCTTGTGAGTCCATGGAACTAATAGTACATTTTTCACCTAGGACAAGAAAATAAGAAATGTCTCAGATCACATGTAATTGTTGACCGAGGCGAAGCCGAGGTCGACAAACATGTGATCTGAGGCTTTCTTATTTCTTGCCCGTGGTGAGAATACTATTTTCCTCCTCGACGGAGGAGGAAAGCGGCATTTTCAGACCATCATAGTGCAATTTTTCTGGTTAAAAATTGACATTTTTAATTTCATTAGATAATTTAATTCTGTAAATTTAATTACAATAATAATTTTTTAACAATATAATAAATATAAAAAATTATTGGAGAAAAATCTAATACTAAAGCAATGATTACTTTCAGTTTTTCGTTCGTTTATGTTGGCCATAAAGGAAATGACGTACATAGATGGTGTGTTGTAAGCGCGCGTAATTTAAAATAGAATAGTCGGTTTGATTTAATGAAGTTGTTTGCACGACCTACGATAAATTTTGTCCTGTACGCGCATGCACGTTATAATAACAGCTGGTGCTAAGTTCAGTTAGGAAAATACCATGAAATATTTAAACTATAAATTACATAAATAATTGACAATAATAAATTTAGTTCCATGCATTGATAAAAAAATCTTAAACCAAGAATACCGTTTTAAAGAAAATGGTTATCTTATCGAGAAAAAAAAATTCTTTAGCCAAGAAAAAATTCTTAGCTTGTTTTTTTTTTGGTTTAAAAATTTCTGCTCTTGACTCGATAAAATTATTGTCTTGAAAATGCTATTCTTGGTTCAAGATTTTTTTCTCTCGAATTAAGTTAACTTTTTTATCATTATAATATATTTTTTATTAAAAATTTAATGAACATTATGAATCATGCACTTAAAAATTTTTCGAATTTTTAGTTATTGTTATTAAAATTTCACCATTTTTCTGTCGTATTTTGTCAATTTATGTACATCAAATATTTTTCTTTATACCTAGGTCGAAAGTACGCAAATTTTTCACCTTTTTTAAAGCAGAAAGTTCAACATTCGTGCATTGGTAGAGCTACGCATACGTCTTTTGTTACAGCGGGAGCAAAAACTTTTCTACCGCATTGAAACATATGTGAAGTTGCTTTCAGTACCCCAATTATGTTCGTTATTTGTTACTAACCGTATTTTGTTTACGCTGATTGTATATTTCATGAAGCATTGAGAATTTAAATCGTGAAGAATTTAATTTATTTAATTAACAAAATTATGTCGACTGATATAAAAAAATAATGTGAATCTTTTTGATTTATTAACTTATCGATAATATTATTATTCTTTATAATTCCCAACCATAAAAAAATGTATGTTAGTTAATTTTAAAAATGTTTATGTTTGTTTAATTGAACAGTTTATCGTGTTTAAATAAAATAAGTCTTGTATTTATTTACATTGGTTTCTTTGCTTTGATGCCTGCCCCCCCCCCCCCGGACCAGCAGCACTCGCTTCGCTCGTGCCGCAAATGTCGCGGGCAGGCATCAACTTCTTTTGATATAATATACACAATATTTTTCGTACTTTCGACCGGCTATAAAGAAAAATAGTATACACTACACGGGCAGAAGTTTGAAAGCCCTGAACTGCGCGCCATGATGCCCGAGGCTTCGCCTCGGGCATCATGGCGCGCAGTGCAGGAATTTCAAACTTTCTGCCCTAATAGTGTAATATACTATTTACCATCGACTTAACAGCTAGAATACAATAAATTCCTATTTTATCGAATTTTTAATGTGTCATCAAACTCATCTAAAGTTTCTTTTCGTGCGACTCATGATGCGACGCATCAGAGAGGGCTTTACGATTGAATAATTTTTCTTACGAATTTTATCTATTAGAAATCATTATTTAACAATAAAAATAACAAAATAACCTAATAATTTTGAATTTTCAGGTATTTCACGAGATTCCTTCAAGTTCTCTTCTTCTAACGAACTATGACCCATTCTACTCGCCCTTGCTCTCTCGACTGGACGCAGTATTTTCCCGTCTTGGACACACCACTGAGGGATGTCGCGAATACGCGGTATGTGCCATGTACCGCAGCCCGGCTCGTTTTGCACCGTATTCTAACCTCATATCAGCTCAATTATCCCGCGAATTGAACGAATTACGTCGACCGGCGAGTGACAATCCTGAAACGCTGAGATTCTTCCGGTACATGAAAGCCGCCAAAGATGGCCAGGACGGAGTGAAGTGCGAAGACGTTTACGTAAATTGTGAAATCGCCAGGGATGATCCTAGTTTAAGGCAAAATCAAGCCATGCTTGCAACCTATCAGGATATCGACAAACTTGTTCACGCCAGAAAATTATAAGAACTAAATGTATAGATAATTTAGATAATTATTTATTTATTTATTAATTTATTTTTTGTTAAATTTATTTATTTTTGAGTTAGTTCTAAAGAGTGATTAGTTTTTGGCATCACAGACTGTTTTTGATATCAAAGTGGTTGTTTAAGAATAAAACAGACAGATTATTATAATTAATTTAATTTAATATTTTTAAGTAACAAAAATAATTTATTTAAAAATTCATCCAGTGGAACTGGAATTTATTTTGAATTACTTATTTATTATCTAAAAAGTAATAATGGATTTAAATGTATATCTTAATTGAAAAAAATTTATATTAAAAATTTATCAAAACTAATCAAATAATTGATAAAATATGTATAAAAAATATATTTTTAATAGCTAACTCTTGGACGATTTTCGTACATATTTTATATTTTTTAAACTGTAGTTGAAACATATTAAAAATATAGAAGAAATTTATCTATGAAAACAAAAAAAAACATATTTCAAATTTTATGAAATATATGAATATAAGAATCTGTTAATAAATATTTACATATTTTTTTTACACGAAATTCTAATTTATTTTCAAGATGTATTTCTATTATTTTTGAGATAAATTTTTAATCGCCAAAAAAATAGCTGTTGAAAATAGATTTAAATTAACAAATTTATACATACATTTTTGATATAAATTTTTTCGTGGGAACAAAGGCAATTAAATTTTTAGTTCAATACAAATGTATGATATGATATATATGATTTATAAATTATCATGAAGCTATAGTCGATAGATTATAACAATCACGAGTCAGTAATCAAATATTTAAATTATTAATATTATTATAAAGAAGCGGTATGATTAATTTTGTTGAAATTAAGCATTTTGATTAATTAAAAAATTAATCATTATTTAGCTTGTTGTATTGTTATCATTGAAACATCAATAATTATCTTTAATGCTCAATTAAAATGATCATATATTCACCATTAGAGTTTTGTAAGCTTGTATAATACAATTGTAAAAAATAAAAGCTAAAAAAAGTTTATCTGAAGATTTAGAGTGACACATTTTTTAACAATTGATCCGAGGTATTAAATGAAATTTTTCTAAAAGAATAAATAAAAATTTAACAAGTATGTGAAGGATACGGAAGGAATTAACAAAAATATTGATGAAATTTGTGTTAAATTATTTATTTGGTGATCTGAAAAATCAAAAATGTATTTATAACACAATTTTTCAGTCGTAGTTTCATTGATGTAAGAATATGTTCTGTTAACTTAAATGCTTTTATTAATTTTGAAACTCAGTTGAGTATTAACTTCATTTTTTTTCTAAAAATGTGGAAATTTTTTTAATCTAGAAATTTTATACCTCTGCACTAAGACAAGAAAAAAAAATTTCTCTACTAAAAAAATTAAACTTGAACTAACAAAATTATTCTGAAGAATTTACAACAGTATCATTTTCAATGAAGAAGAAAATTTTTTTGTATCAAATAAAATTTATTAGTTAAAAAAATTTTTTGTTTAGTTTAAGAAAGTAAAGTTTTTGAAGTTATTTTTTTGGTTTGAGATTTTTTTCTTTTGAATCAAGATCATTTTCTTATCAGCATACCGATTTCACATAAAATTTAGAAAAGTACAATATTTTATTAATATTATTAAATAATTATAATCAAAACCAAAAAATTTTCATTTAATATAATATCGATAAAAAAAAAGGCATATTTACACCGAACAAAAATTTTCAATAAAAAACAAATTTATTTGACTCAAGAAAATATTTAAGAAAATTAAAATTATCTTCATTGAATTAAAATTTTCTCGTCTCAAAAAATTTGTTCTTACTCAGAAAAAATTTAGTTCTTTCGAAAAAATTTCTTGTATCAAGTAAATTTTTTTTTTCTGTAAGCTTTAAAAATTTGTCGCTGACTAACTTAATCCTTAAAATGTTAAAGTGTAAAAACTCTTTCCATTCCACATACTCAGAATTACAACCGTTCTTATTTAAAAAAACCATCTTTATAAAATATATTTTGTCAGTAATTTTCTCAAATTCTTTCAACTAATGAATTCATTCCTCAATAAATTTTTCCAATTAAAAGTTTCAATCTGACATAAAAAGTTCATTAAACCGTTGAACATGCGTCAGAAAATCCCACTATCCATATCATTTTATGACGCACGCCTAACTGTTATGTCAAGAAACGAATACCCATTTTTTTTGAAAGCCTTTAAGAAGAAATCCAGTTCCGGTTAGCCATCCTTTCCTGAACTTTCACTTTCCAGTTACAAAAAAAATCCTTTTTTTAAAATCCTTTTTTTGTTCCTTCTCAATAACAAACCCACGCATCCATGTCTTGATCTTACAATTCACTTACACTACCTTATATATTAACTATTATTATATACATACAATACCCAATATACAACATACATAATACCGTTTCGCATATAAATACAAATCGCCGGTCAAAACCGTCACTCGGTCACAAGCCCGTTTGATTTCGCACTTCTTCTTCTTCAGCATTTTTTATCCTCGGCCTCATTACTGTCTCGACCGAAATTTTAAAAGTCAAACCGAACCACTTGATCCAATTGTGTGTTAGTGATTTTCCGTAAGTATTAAGTATTAAGTATTCATTACTTACTTATTGAGTTGAAAAATTTATACAACTCAATTGAAAATAAAATTTCGTAAAAGCTGCGCCAAATTAAATTAATATTAATAAATAAAGTCAATCTTAATATAAGTTAACATTAACATTAAGTAGAATTTGAAGACATTCTCTCTCGATGAAAGTCCTCATTGGCTTGTCAAGATAACGGTATTGTTGTGATCGTTGTACGTGTGGAGTGTACACAAAATTAACCGGTAGTTTACTGAGGAACCGCGTGGATAGCGACACTGCGCTTATATCTTTCAGTTTATTTTGTTTCATTTACACCATTTATTATTAATTACAGTTCGTGTTTTATTTTATATTTAAATTTGAATATCACAGTAGCTATTTCACATTTTTGATCATTAATTTATTCAATCAACGACATGGAATGTAAATTACTGTTATACACTCCGGAAATTTTATGGCTTATTCATAAAAATATAAAAAATATGTGAGTAATAAAAATATTTTTTCATTTTTATCGGCTTTCTTAAAAGAAATTGGTGTGAATTTTTATTATATTATTATCATAATTACTGTAACTTTAAAACTTAATTGGTTGTAAATCATTGGATAAAATTAGTAGATTATGAATAATTTTATTGGTAGTAACTAATTTCTTTTTCAGATGAAGATATTTTGAAAATCGAAAGATGGAATTGATGAAATCTTTGTTAGAGAAGTTTTTATTATCTCTATTGGTAACTTCGGTTTTGACGGTTACCTTTGAAGACACACCGACTGAAAGTAAACGTAAGTAATTTTATCGGTATGTAAAAATATAGGTTTGAGATAAATCACGATTAGTTTCATCAAATGATAAAGTTTTTTTTACAATTTTATAAAATTTTAGTGCTGAAATTTTATAAAATTTTATGAAGATCGGGCAAATTTTATAAAATTATATAAAAATTCATAAAAACTTATAAATTTATTATTATACCCAAAAGAACTGTTAGTATGAAACTAATATATTTTCACAGAATTTCATATGATTTTAATAAAAATTTCATGAAATTATATAAAAATTGACAAAATTTTATCCAAGACAATGGGATAATTATTATACAATTCTATAGAATTTTGTAAACTCTTATATAGATTAACACCGAAAATCTTGCCACTATAAAATTTCATATAATTCACGTTTTGTAAAATTTTGAATAAATTTTTTGAGGTTTCATTAAATTGAAAAAAAATTTCATGAAATCACATAAAATTTTGTGAAATATCATCGAAAAAATATTTTTTTGGGTACTACATTTTTTTTGTCAATTTTTGTAATTCAATTTTAATTTTTTTTCTTTTTTTCAATACAATTTCAAAAAATTTAATATTTTTTACACAATGAATAATATTATATAAAATCACAATAAAAAGCATAATTTTTAAGATTGATTTTGTGTTAGAATCTAGAAACAGAAAAAAGAAATTAAGACTCAGATTTAAATAATTACACAAAATAAATGTTGCATGAAAAATTTTTTCATTCAAATTCATGTACATTTATTGTTATAAACAATATTTAAAAATCTTGATGGTAAAAATCAATGAAAGTTTGAAAAAAACAAATAATAGCTGTTTTTTAATAGTAGTTTAGTTTTTTATGAAAATCTTAAAAAAAGTTTCTTAGTTTATAATAAAATATACGAGTAAAATTTTTGGTATCCCGTATATCACAGTGCATAACCTCCTCTAAAAATTCGAACTTTGAAATTAAATATCTCTGAAACTAGATGGTCAAAAAATTTCAATTTGCGTCAATTGATGCAGAATTATATAAATATTAATCTGCCAAAATTTAAAAAAATTCCTAAGAAAACTACCTTAATACTACATATTTCCATTTACAATACTACACTAAATCAGTATTCGAGTATTTTAACACATATTACATAATTTTTCGTTGACTGAAGACTAACACATTTCACAAAGAAAAAGTATCTTATAATTATAAGAAATTAACTAGGAAAATCACGACATTTCTTAAACATGTACCGTATGCAAAACACAAACGCCACGATCATCAAAATTACTATGACCGTAACAATTATCCAACTCCACCACGGTGTCATAATTATTTAATTATTTGATTATTAAATCAATGAGGACACTAGGTGATCGATGATTTTTAAAACAGAATTTAGTTACAGCTTCTTAAATTACAAAACTAAGTAATTGTAGTTTCTTATGAGATTTTCCTTATTTTTTGCTGGGACTATCGCTGAGTTTTACAGCAACAATTTGAACTTTTTTGAGAAACAATATCCTGTAACATGAATTTCATTATTAATTATTGGGTTACTTATTTACTAATTGGTAATGTATTTTCAATTTGCTGATTGATTTTAATTTACAATCTAAATTTTTACTGACATTAAAAAAATTCCATTAAAAATCAATGTTAAAATTAAATCACATAAATAAATATATCTTAAATTTTTTGTAAACATTCATCACATTTTTGAAAGTTTCTTACCTTGAATCTAACTCTGTAAATAATAAAATTACTCAAATTTGAATTTGAATAAAGTAATCAATTCCATTGTCTACACTGTCACTCTTGATTTACATAGATCTTGAAAAAATTCATATTTAATTAAAAAGTTAATTAAAATAATTATTTTCTTAAGTAGTTCTTAGATACTAATTAGTATCTAAGAACTACTTTGTTTATTAGTTTTATGAAAAGTATTAATACTTACAATAAAAAATTATTCATCGGTAAATATTGAACCCGAGTAACTGTCTATATAAGTTACGATCAAAATCAAGTTGTGCAGTCTCCTGACTTAAATATGAGAAAACTATACTCACAACCGTAAATAAAATTATTTTAAAATAAATAAATAAATACACTTTATACTTTATTTAACACCACTCACAGTAATAACTATAAAGTACAAAAATGTAAACAGAAAGGAGTCAAGTAATATAAACTATAGTTGTACTTACTTGCTAGTAAGCTTTCGGATTAAATTTGTTATATTAAACACAGATATTTTGACTAAATTTTATTTTGGCCGCCAGTTTGATCGTTCTCCTTGGTGATATCACATTCCAAATATCGATTTATGAAAAAGTTTCCCCTTTTCCGGGCTCCATTTGTAAACTATCGAATGATATAATACAATAGGGTGCTCAGTTTTCCAGCCCTCGCCAGATGTTTTTTGGACCCCACCATCGAATTTTCTATTTTCCAGGTCAATTTGGAATAATGTTTACTTCAGACTTCGTATCTTAGATAATCTTAGTCACAAAAATATCAAAACACAAAAAGGTGCCTAAAGTAAGGTTTTTTTGGTAAGACTGCTGTTACAATTTGATTGAAATAATCTTAGAATTCCAAAAACATTTCAGAAAATATTATTGAGAGCAAAATTACGGATAGATTCGCTAGAAAAGTTGAAACCCCCAATATTTCGTATAAGTTGAACTTTGATTTTGAATAACTTTTGAAAGATTCAATTCATCAAAAAATCAAAAGGCACCTTTTTCGTAGAATGTTCAATTTTTTACAAAAATATCTTAACACTTTTTCTGTATAATTGTTGATTAGTGAGTTACAAAAAAAAAAGAAAAAGTGAAACATTTTTTTCGTGTGTTAATTTTACGGAAAATGTGAAGAGCCATGTGGATAATCTTAATATCAATATTAAAAGCTCAAATTTTAACAGGTTTATTTTTTAATTCAAACAAAATTTTGAAGCGTGCTTGTAAAAAAAAAATTTTTTTTCTTAAGGTAGTACCTCCACGAAAAGCATATTTCAAGAAACTTATGGAATTTTTTTTACCGAAAGATAAATATATAACTAATTCACCACCAAAATTTCAGATCAATTCACCGCACCGTTTTTGAGTAATTAATTTTCGAAATTGCATCTTTTACACGTAGAGGTATAGAGAGATGGTAAAGTTAGTATGAAATCTTCCGTACCACTCGAGTGATGCAAATAGATTTCATATTAACTTTACCATCTCTCTATACCTCTACGTGTAAAAGATGCAATTTCGAAAATTAATTACTCAAAAACGGTGCGGTGAATTGATCTGAAATTTTGGTGGTGAATTAGTTATATATTTATCTTTCGGTAAAAAAAATTCCATAAATTTCTTGAAATATGCTTTTCGTGGAGGTACTACCTTAATCAATTTACTAAGCACGTTCAAAAATTCCTTACGCGATTACTTTAAATTCTGAAAATAATATTTTGGAACCTCCAAAGACTAGATCACATAATTTTGGGATCAAAAGAAAATTATTAATGATTAATTATTATTATAATTGCCTGAAATATTTAACTCAGCCTTTTTTCTTACACAAATTTTATTAAATTTTTTATCGGTTGTAATGGTATTCGTTTATGACATATATGTCCTATATTTTATTCAAATTCATAAAAATATAATTTTTCTTTGAATACTAATTTTTGACAAATAAAATTTATGTTTTTCAGATGGAAAAGTCAATTTCGAAATCAATGATTTTCGAGAATCACGAACGAACTCAAACAACACCCGCCAGGGAAAAAATTTGTTTGACTGGATCGGATTCGGTACCGGTCAGCACGTGGATCCTTACATCGCCAAAATGAACGAGAATTGTTTAGGCGGAGATTTCGCGGAATGTTTCAAATCACGTGCCATAAACTCGCTGTCGGAGTTTTTCCAGCAGCATGAATATTATTTAAATGACAATGTAAGGGTTGTCAGAATGGGGCGAGATTTGGTGCAGGAAGTTAATCGGCAGCCGTTCGAATATACTAGCTCACCAAGGTAAATATACTCTACTTTTAGTGATCATTAATTAATTAATAATGATATAATTACGATTTGTGAAATAATTTGGTGTTAATGAGATTTGTTTAATTCATTTTTAGGTCAGATGATAGCGAATGGGATCAATTAGTGAAATTTGTCGAAAGAAAAGCCGAAAAATTTTTGAAAACGGTAGCTATTGAAGTTAAAATACCGTCATCGGAAACGGGTGAAAATGAAGTATATTCACCGCGGTTTTTGGATGAAATTGCTGATGAATTAGATACGCTTGAAAATAAAAAGGATACACTTTTTTGTGAGTAATTTTAAAGATTATTATTAAGGTATTTGTTTTTAAGCTTGAAAAAAATGAATTTTTAACTTAATTGATTATAATATACTGAAATATGTTACTAATTAATTTTAGTTGATACATGTCCATCGTTTTGAAATTACTACATTGAAGCTCACATGTTTATTTGAACAGCAATCATATAGTATTCAGTAATTATTTATCATCCTTGTACTAAATCGTGAAAAAATTTTTTCATATGATCATGCATGACTCGATGTAGATACATATGGCCTGATCTGGTGAGATATCACCATGTCGAACAATAACAACAATAACTTATTATAATTTTTGATTTTTTTTTGATACAGTGATAACAAAAAATTATTAAATCACGTATAATTAATATCCAAATATACGTGAAAGTATATTTGGATATGAAATATACGTGTGAACTTTAATTTTTTTTTTTATTTATTTAAAGTCGCATAAACTACTAAAGTCATGAGCGACTACGGTAGAGAGTAAACTTTTGTGGTTGGGCTCGTTTTAGCGTTTTGGGCTGAGCAGAATAATACACTTAAAGATTGAAAATATTCATTGAAGTACGCCGGGCTTGAACCCAGTCCAATGCTTTGGTAAGCAAGGACCGAATCTGATAGGCTACTGCGCGCCTCAATGAGCTTTAAATTAATGTATTATATATTAGTGAAAGTTTTTTCGCAAAATGAAGTCATGACTTCACATCACTTGAATGTTGTAGTAAATTTAAATTTAAGTAGTTTCTCTGAATTGTTCTTGTTAGTGTTAATGTTCTTATCTGCAAATCACTGTGAATAACGACCGCTAAGAATTTTGATTTCACGGTGATTTACTCTCACGGCAAAATTACATTCAGAATAATATTACACTCATTTGAAGTGATTTACAATAAATAAAATTCGACTATGGAATTATTTTATTCTATAATTCTAATCCAAAAAAATTTTCACACCATAAAATTACAAGTTTTCTACTATAAATAATTGCTAGTATAATTGTAGTATAAAATTAAATAAAACTATGACATTTTAAGCTCAATAAAAATTATTTTCCTTCAGAATTTTAGCTGGTTTTGGATGAAGAATTAATATAGTAGTAGTATGGATTCACAAAGTTATGGTACGTTGATTAATTTATTAGGGACTTCTCAAGGTTTCTCAGGAAAGTCCAAAGGAATCCCGGAGGAAACTCTGCGGATCTCAGCTAGTCTAGCTTTTATTCTCAATTCCGCAAGGACTCTAGAAGAGTTCCTCAAAATTTCCGCCGGGATTATTACGGATTTCTCTGAGAAACCTTGAGAAGTCCCTAATAAATTAATCAACGCATCATAATCTCGCGAATTCATGGATAAATTTATTTTATCGAAAACCGGCTAAAATTCTAGACAGAAAAAATTTTTATTGAGCTTGAAATATCACATTTTTATTCAATGTTTTATTACAGTTAAAATAACAGTTCTTTGATAAAATCATTTTTTATGATTTCTTCCGAAATTCTTGTGGGATTTATATTTGTGTCATAATATGAATTCCTTAGGATTACCGGCAAAATAAAATAAGGAATTCCGCAACTTTCTTAATTAATAAAATTTCTCGATAATAATAATTTATAATTCATAACTTATTGTAAAAATAAAAAATTATTTGTTTCAGCACGCAATCGCCTAAAAAAATTATTAATACCAATGTTGATAATTTTGAAGCTCTTTAAACTAAAACTACTTCTATTTTTACCGCTAATCCTGGGTCTGGCGTCCTTCAAAAAATTCTTGGGATTCTTGGCGATAGTGATACCAGGTGTGATAGCATTTTTCAAATTCTGCAAGCCTCTGATGAATAATTACCAGCCACCAGTGTACTCACAAAGTGGAATTGGTTTTCCTCATTACAAGGACTCGAGTAGTTCTGGATTTTCTGAAGATCATTATCATGAACCTAGTTACCATAATTATCAGCCAGATGCGAATTCATACGGTTCGAACCTAGCTTACTCGGGTTACAAGCCCTATTAAATTTAATTAAATGAATTTAGACAAGGTATAAATTATTTTGATTTAATCATTCTAATTTTCATAAGCATTAGTATTATGCGAAACATGACAAGTGGCATTTAGAGTGTAAATATTGAGAAATGATAAATGACTACGATAATATATTTTTGTACTTCGTTATGTTTGATTATGCATGTGTAAATTTATTCGTGTAAATGTTTAAATAATTTTGTATGTTTTGTTAAGTATGATAATTTGTAAATATATATAAAAATTATTTCAGTAAAATCTATTTTAAGTTAAATCAGTTGATACTTTAATCATGTACCTTACCTGAGTTCCGAATGTTCGTGGTGAAAAAATTTAGTTTTTTAAAATAAAAGTACTAAAATACAATATCAACGTTAATTCTTGCATATTTATGATTTGGGAGCTCTGAAGCTCGGCTTCGCCTCGGATAACAATTATATGTGATCTGAGACATTTCTTACTTTACTGCCCTAGATGTGTATTATAATATTTTTTTCCTCCAATCAACTTGGGAATTTATAAAAGTAAGAATCTGTTTAAAGAGAACGCAAAAAAATTTTTTTTTTGACACAGCTCTTTTGGCTTTAAGAAAAATAATTTCTAAAGCCGAAAAGGCGTATTTAAATGACTGAAAGAGGTTACAAAGACCTCAAAACGTTGAGATCTGATAAAAAATTGATTTTTGATAATTGAATCGATAATACTGACAGACTCCAATTTTTCGAAATTTTCAATTTTTCTTAACAAGAAATTAAAAATTTTATTTTAAATTCTTTCAATAAATTTCCACAAAATACGGAAAATTGAAAATTTCAAAAATTGTCATAGATGCTTCATGAATTTCGGCATAACCATTTTCCCTTAAAAATAATTTTTAAGTGTTCTTACGTTTAATCCGTCAGCACTCACGTTATAAGCATTTTGCTCACGCAACAACATTCGACTTATAGAGCGGCGCTGTAGTGCAAGTGAGACACTAAAATTCACGTGTTCTGACGGGTTAAAAAATGACACTTTAGTTTCCAGCGTTGATAGCAATTTTTGACACAACTTTGGTGTGCTCTATTATTTAATGAAATAGTCGGATGAAAAAATGGTCACCGTAATATTTATTGAAAATTTTATCCTTTTCAAATTTTAATATATTGAATTTTCTGTGATTTCAATAAATTTTTAGTTATTTCAGAAAAACTGAGAAATTATGCAATTTTTTTGCTATTGTTTAACGAAACTCAACTTTTGGAAAGATTTTTTTTGATCATTTGAAATATGATTTCACAGCAGATTTCATGCTTACTTGATAGTCAGTAATTATTTATAATCTTAGTGTTAGTCCCTTTTGCTTGATCTATCCGTGTAAGTATTCCATTTATTTCAATTAATTTGTTAACAAACACATCATTTTCCTGCTATAGTCTACATCATCGTTGTCATTAGAAACTATCAACAAAATAAACAAATATGAACTAACAATTCAATAACCATCAATTTCAATTTCCTACAGATAATTTTATTGAGCATTCGGCCTCCACTCAAGCAATCAAATAATGTACACATTTAGAAAAGCAACAATTTAATCTAACCATTCACCAAAGTAAGTTTAGAGGTCAAAAAAAAGTAAAAAAAATATATTTAAATAGAAAATGCATCCATACTACTCCAATGTTAAAAGATTATCAATTATCATTGACGTCATTGCCATTTAAAAGCACACTTTCCTTTACTTTCTTTCTTTCCTTCGATTGTGCCATTGACGCATTATCTATCACTAAAATCAGCTTTCATTAGAAATTTTAATATACATTAAAATTAACTGCATCCTCTTAAATTTTCACAAACTTCTCCTTAACTCAAATTTTATTAAAACAATAAAATGTGAGCATTTTGTATAAAAATATTTTACGACCCTCGAATATAAAAAAGAATAATATACGCATGGTATATTGAAATTATTTATCATTTAAAGTCTTGACAAGAGCTGACATTTAATATAAATAATATAATTTATAAATGGTGATATTCCAGAGGCAAGACACTAGTAATTTTTTTGCATTCTATGCGTTGCGATTCCGTGCCATTTTCACTGGTGATCAAGATCAAGCGCATCGAGTTGCAGTTGGTGGCGGAGCTAACAAGGTGTGCCACGATCTGCAAACCGGAAGGTATGCGAAGAACAGGGTCATGGACGACGAGTGTGTATATTTATCAGCATAACATTAATTTGCGATAAACGACATTATAATCTGGATCTGAGAGCTGAGAATTGTGGAATCTTGAATTTATTCATTTTATTTTTAATAGTAAATTTCATTTTTTATAGTGCTTACGACGTGCAACGCATACTAATACAAGCATCTAGGTAAACATAAGCAGTTATAATTATTATTATGATTATAATCAAAGCATAAAATGTATGGCAGATTATTATTTATGATGACGATTAATTTATTATGATAAGTATAGGTTTGATGTTCCTTTTAGTTAACAAATATTCGTTGCGGACAATGAGTCTTAGCGTTACTTTTTTTCTTGGGTTATAGCTTGTACACGGAGAGAAATTTATAGGAATCTTTCCAACAATTATGGGAATGGATCCTATAATAAAATTATCATTATAGGCATTAATCCTATACTCATTATGGGAACCATACCCATAATTTATTGGAAACGTTCCTATACAATAATAGAATAGCTTCAATATATTATGGGAATGGTTCCTATAATATTATAGGAATGGTTCCTATAATATTATGGGAATGACGCACATAATATAGAAAAAAGTTTATTTTCTTAATAATGAAGCAATCACTTCAAAAATATAAAGTAATTATTATGTATTTTTTTCCTAGTAAAATTTTTTTTTGTAAATAAAAATTGATCTTTCACTAGAGTGGGAAAATTTCTTTTTCATAATTTTTATTCACGTGTGAACTTAATCTTGAATTATTTATTCCAGCTCAGTTATTATTGTGTTAAATAATATTGAAAAATATTGTAGCAGTTTCAAAGTTTCTCTAATAAAATAGTATATTGTGTAACATGGGACCAAAGTACTACTTTGACCAAAGTACTTCGGCTCGGGTGGTAATCCCATACCCGGGACAGAAATGTAGTACTTTGGTCCTATGTTGCACATACTATTTTTTATCCTGCCAGGCCCAAAATTCGTAAAAAAGTTTAATGACTCAGTGATTCGTGCATGGAGTCCACGGGCGAAGCCTCGGTAGGGTCCAGGGGC